GGGACTCAGCAGTGTGGTACGCGGGATTCGGGGGTATCTGTAGAGAGTATTCGGGACTCAGCAGTGTGGTACGCGGGATTCGGGGGTATCTGTAGAGGGTATTCGGAACTCAGCAGTGTGGTACGCGGGATTCGGGGGTATCTGTAGAGAGTATTCGGGATTCAGCAGCGTGGTACGCGGGATTCGGGGGTATCTGTAGAGGGTATTCGGGGCTCAGCAGTGTGGTACGCGGGATTCGGGGGTATCTGTAGAGAGTATTCGGGATTCAGCAGCGTGGTACGCGGGATTCGGGGGTATCTGTAGAGGGTATTCGGGGCTCAGCAGTGTGGTACGCGGGATTCGGGGGTATCTAGAGGGTATTCGGGACTCTGCAGTGTGGTACGCGGGATTCGGGGGTATCTGTAGAGAGTATTCGGGATTCAGCAGCGTGGTACGCGGGATTCGGGGGTATCTGTAGAGGGTATTCGGGGCTCAGCAGTGTGGTACGCGGGATTCGGGGGTATCTGTAGAGAGTATTCGGGATTCAGCAGCGTGGTACGCGGGATTCGGGGGTATCTGTAGAGGGTATTCGGGGCTCAGCAGTGTGGTACGCGGGATTCGGGGGTATCTAGAGGGTATTCGGGACTCTGCAGTGTGGTACGCGGGATTCGGGGGTATCTGTAGAGGGTATTCGGGACTCTGCAGTGTGGTACGCGGGATTCGGGTGTATCTAAGAGGGTATTCGGGACTCGGCAGTGTGGCACGTAGAACGCGAAAAAGAATCGCATTTGGTACGCAGACTCAACATGTAGGTTGTTTAAAACCCTAATTATTATTACACTGATTTTCAATTAACAATTTATGTAAGTATTTAATGCTGATATTTTAACCACAGCGACAAGGTATTTCATTTACAAATTTCTCAATAATTCGTTTGAATATCTTGATTAAATATTTTTGGGAAATTATTTTATTGTAAATATAATTTGACTAACAAACAGTTTGCCGCCGTGTTGATGCATCGCATCAAACGTTTTCCTGTTGATGTTCAATTGCTTCTGTGTAAAATACTGAGTACAAAACTATTAACAAATACGAAAAATTTTACTACATTCCCGCAATGTTTCTTAACCTGTAAGGATAAGTGTATCACTTTAGGACATTGTGGTAACACATAAGTTAAATTTACTCAACACAAAATCCAACTCTGAGCCTTCTAAGAAGTATAATTTTCAAATGCCTTACACTTTCTTCTTATTGTTTGACTAGAAACACACACACACACACACACACACACGCACAAACATCCTTATGATTTGAATACAATATGATGTCATCATAATATTAGTTATGGTGTCATTAGTTGCCGTTTTCGGTGTCATATTTTTCTGCTAACCTAATATGACACCGTATACGGAAACTAAAGACACCATAACGAATTTATTATGCCGAAAAGTTTACACTTTTTGGTATCTTTGTCGCACATGTCATGTGAAAACTTAAACCTCAAAACGTAACACTTACAACCTGAGACGTTAAGGTTGATAATTTTAACTTTATATACTGAACAACAAAAGTTCCTATGACATTGAATAAAATTTAATGCAAAGTTAGGTTTTTTACCAAATCTGAAACAATTTCGGTTTGCAACAGATAAAAGACACCTGTAATTGTTCAAATGGTTTAATTTGCCATTTTGACTTCAGAAAATTCGTGATTTCATAAAAAAAACCATGAACATGCCAAAATGTCAATTTTCAAATCAATAGCGTGTGTGTCCACCTCTGGTTGCGATGCAAGCAACACATCTTCGTCTTATGGAATGGACCAGGCCTCGCACAAAGTCCTGTGGGATATCTGTCCATATCTGCTGAAGCATGTTTCGAAGTTCCTGGAGTGTCTGTAGAACACGTGGTTGACGTCGAAGGCGCCGATCCATCTCATCCCACATGTGCTCGATTGATTAGAGATCAGGGGAGCGAGCCGGCCAGGGGATGACATTCACGTTGTTTTGTTGAAGGGAATCCTGAACAAGTCGAGCAATATTAGGCCGGGCGTTGTCATGTTGAAAGGTAATGCCTGGGCCGTGACGACGCAAAAACGTTCGAACAACAGGGACGATAATCTCGTAGCGGTAGCGCTGTCCATTGAAATTTCCCTCTACCACTATCAAACGGGTCCCCTGTCTTGCTGTAATCCCACCCCATACCATAATGCTGCCGCCCCCGAACTGATCTTCTTCCATGACACAATGATTGACGTAACGTTCGCCTCGACGTCGGTACACTCGAATCCGTCCATTGCTGTGGCTGAGGTGCAAAAAGAGACTCGTCAGTGAATAGAACTTGTCCCCACTGCATGGCCGTCCAGCGTAGACACTGTCTGCACCACTGTAGACGTGCTTGACGGTGGTTTCCTGTCAAAATGGTGCGTCTGGCGGGTCTTCCGGCGACAATCCCTGCACATCTGAGGCGGCGACGTACGGTTTGTGAACATATTCAACGAAGACCAGGGATGCTTCTTGCAGTCACTGTTGCTGCCTGGAATTGATTTCGTAGGTGTGTTGTTCGAATCCAGTTGTCTTGTCGATTATTGGTTACGCGTGGCCTGCCACTCCGAGGATGGTCTCTGACTGCATTCGTCTGTTGCCAACGTTGCCATAAACACAAAATTGTGTTTCTATGGACGTTAAATTGTCTTGCAACATCACGTTGACTCGATCCTGCTTCAAGCATACCAATGGTTCGTGGACGCTCATTTTCGGACAGGCGCGGCATTTCGTAATGTTGAATAATAGCTTAATTTTGATGTTTTTCTGAGTGGTTGTTGTCAGCACGATGCTAAACAATGCATATGGAATCCCGTTAACGCACATGTACTAGTATATATACCCATTCTTGGGTAGTGAAATGCATGGAGCTTGCATAAAAGTCAACTTTTGCATGGAATGTGCATGCTTTTCTGTAGCAGTTGCGTTCTTGTGACTTGATTCCATACATGTACCACAATATTGAGAACCAAACTTTACTTGTTTGAAAAATACACTAAAATATTTTGTTGTTGAGTATATAATCTTTATTAGAGTCACGAACGTGATGCAAAAAAACCCATTAACGTCCTTGCATATCAAAATTAATTATATTAAAACCCAAACAATGCCGAATGACGAATTTCTGTACCAGAATTTCTATGTAAACTATGTGAGATGGGTCTTGGAAAATCCACAATGGCTGTAAATGACGGTATACGGTCTCATGTTAGGTCAGTAACAACCATCTTGGATTTGTACTGACGGTATACGGGCTCATATGGGCTTAGTGGTTCTGCTCTCCGATTGGTCAATCTCACTTTGAGGCATAATAACGAGGAATATACATGGCAAGGTTCAGCCTACTTAGTCTGGCAAGTTCAGAGGAGAGGAGTGCCAAAACTGCATCAGGTCCTTGCTGCAAGTTCGGTGTTGAATGGAATTACTTGTGAGTACTCAATAATCGAGGAGGGGTTCCGAGTTCTGTCATTCAACAACACATACCTGAACCGTAGCGTTTTTGTCTTTAACTCCGCCTTAACTAATTGCATTATTGTAAGTCAAACACCACTTGGTCACGGCGTGCTATCATTTACCTTGATGATCGATTAATGTGTCGCCAGCGGGATTCTAACCAGCGATGTCCACACGGAAGGCTGACGAAACTGGTCTTCTGCAACGATAACACGGAAGACATGTGGAATTAACAATGACATATTTACTGACCAACATATTACTGTATAATTCGTTTATAATCGAGTATATCTATGATGTATTCAGGATGCCATACTGTCAAGTGAACGTACGGGTAGGTTGAAATTTGGTTTTCGTTACAATAACTCGTTTCTCGATTAGGGCTATGCGTGGTTATAATAGGCCCATCAACATGAACAGGAGTATAATATTTGGGTCATTGAAAAATGTGCATGATTTGATGCTGCATCAATTGTATACTTGGCCTGGGACATGCATTTCATAACTCGAGTCGTCAAAAAAAGAGATGCACTTGCGAATGGCTCAGAGAACACATTTCAGGGGCAACTCACTCTGTTCTATTTGTTTGTTGGTTGTTTACGCCGCACTCAGCAATATTCCAGCTATATGGTGGCGGTGTGTAAGTAATCGAGTCTGGACCAGACAATCAAGTGATTGACATCATGAGCATCGATCCACGCAATTGGTTGGTTGGTTGGTTTGTTGTTTAACGCCGCACTCAGCAATATTCCAGCTATATGGTGGCGGTGTGTAAGTAATCGAGTCTGGACCAGACAATCTAGTGATTGATATCATGAGCATCGATCCACGCAATTGGTTGGTTTGATGGTTGCTTGTTTAACGCCGCACTCAGCAATATTCCAGCTATATGACGACGGTCTGTAAATAATCGAGTTTGGACCAGACCATACAGTGATTAATATCATGAGCATCCCACGCAATTGGGTCAGCGATTCTTACGATAAGCATTGTCGCCTTTTTACGGATTTTCACGTGCTCTAAAGGTTAAGCATTGAGTTCTCAGATATCTTTTACATACCGTCATCAAAACAGTGTTGTTTAAACACTTTAGGCGCTAAGGTTCTCGAACATTGGACATGGTCTAAATAGGGCAAGGCGCGGATATTCTCAGTGCATAGTTGCATCGCGTACTAGATCAAAATCCGAAGATCGTTGGTTCGAATGCCAGATTCACCCTGTTGACGATTCTCGGGTTTTTAGCACCATATCCGTGACAGTTGGTTTTATTAAACCTTTTTCCAAATGTTTGGCGTGGAGAGTAAATGCCAATCTGATAAAACAATATGTACATGCAGAAAATATTGTGAAAGAATGACAGAATACTATCAGAATCAGAGGATATTCACCTTTATATCATCCAGAAGAATTTCTGACACCCTGACAAATTGGTTCCTGAGGAAAGCATTACCAGCAAAATATAATCATGTAAGTCCGTGTTTTTACCTAACGTATTTCTGTTCTGATTCTTCATTCTCAGCCTGAAACACTGTGTGATTGAAACCCATCAACTCAACAGCCATGTCTACTGTGAAAATACCAGACGCCGGTGGTGACACCTTGACCTTCCTACAAGTTCAAGGTCGTCTTTATCCAGCCTTTCCCCCTGAAGCAGTTATGAACATGGGCACGTTCAAGATACGTCATGATGACGTCATAGTATGTGCTTACCCAAAGTCAGGTATGTCTTTGTTCAAAGGAATTTTTGCACCCGTAATAAACAAGCATGGTTTAGTCCCGAGTTATGACAGCTGGGTCGCGAGGGCCTAGCTTATCCGTTGCTAATGACGTGATACAGGACACGCTGCCGGACTGACACATCTCCATGCGTCTGCGCTACGCTTGACTCCCATTCTCTGTCAGTAACCTGGCGAGCAATCGGGCATGTATATTTATCATGATGGCAGCACGACATGCAGCAGATTGGGTACATACACGTCTCAAGGTGTCTCGAATACCAGTTTGACAGTAGCCATTTATTCTTTGTTTGTTTGTTGTTTAACGCCGCACTCAGCAATATTCCAGCTATATGGCTGCGGTCTGTAAACAATATCAAATCTGGACCAGACAATCCAATGCTTGACATCATGAGCATCGATTTTGTTTGTTTGTTTATTTGTTGTTTAACGCCGCACTCAGCAATGTTCCAGCTATATGGCGGCGGTCTGTAAATTATCGAATCTGGACAAGACAATCCAATGCTTGACATCATGAGCATCGATGTGTTTGTTTGTTTATTTGTTGTTTAACGTCGCACTCAGCAATGTTCCAGCTATATCGCGGCGGTCTGTAAATAATCGAATCTGGACCAGACAATCCAATGATTGACATCATGAGCATCGATCGACGAAATTTGGATACAATGACATGCATCAACCGAGTCAGCGAGCCTGACCACCCGACCCCGTTAGTCGCCTCTTACGACAAGCATAATCGCCACTTGCGTCAAGCATGGGTTGCTGAAGACCAATTCTACCCCGGATCTTCACGAGTCGGGTGGTCAGACTCGGTTGATTGCGTGTCATCGTACCCCGACGATGAAGGGTGTTGCTCATAACATAAAACATTGACACGATTATTTACAGGCCGCCGACATATTGATATAATATTGTTTTACGGCAAGTATGTGTTGCTGAAGACCTATTCTAACCCGGATCTTAACGAGTATCGATGTACACAATAAAGATACGATGACATGCATCAACCAAGTCAGCGAACCTGACCACTCAGTCGTGTAGCTGTCGACTAATCCTAACCCGGATCTTCAAGGGTCCTTCGTCGCCTGATCACCGAATGGAGCGGAAACTCCAGTATTATTTACGTTTCATTTGCCCCAAATACTTATACCCAGACGAAGACTAGAATGTTATAAAGATGGATAATCAATGTGTTGCTGCCAAATAGGTAGTGGCGAGGGATAACTGACTAATTAATGTTTCAGGTACTCACTGGGTATGGGAGATAGTGCGCATGCTCCAGGCTGGCACGACGGAAGTGGAATCTGCCGAGAAGGATGACGGGATGATGGAGCTGTTTGATCAAGATCACTTTGACCAACTCCCCTCCCCCAGGGCTCTTAACACGCATCTGCTGTTCACCCAACTACCCCCGGAAGTCACACAGAAGAAGAACAAGTTAATATTTCTGTCAAGAAACCCAAAGGACCTTTTTGTTTCGTACTATCATCACCACACTGGACTAGCGGACCTGTACAACTACAGTGGAAAGTGGAGGAATTACCTCCCCTTAGTTTTAGACGGAAGAGGTAGATACTCAAGCTAGCAACTGTTAGATATCTCTTGGAGTTCATGTATGACACAAAAAATAATTTAAAAATCATTTTGACCGATCGTTAAGGATAACGAACCCCTCGTGTTGTTTTCTTGCAGCCCAAAAGGGGACTCCGGGTTAGAAATGGTCCCTAGCAACACATGCTTGTCGTACGAGCTACCTTATGTTTGTTAGTTTGTTGTTTAACGCCGCACTCAGCAGTATTCCAGATATATGACGGTGCTCTGTAAATAATCGAGTCTGGACCAGTGATTGACATCATGAGCATCGATCAACGCATTTGGGATCGATGACATGCTTCAACCAAACCAGCGAGCCTGACTACCCGATCCCGTTAGTCGCCTCCCACGGCAAGCATAGTCGCCTTTTACGGCAAGCATGGGTTGCTGAAGACCTATTCTACCCCGGATCTTCACGGGTCAGGTGGTCAGACTCGGTTTATTGCGTGTCGACGAAGAGTGATGCTCATAATAAAAGACTGGCACGATTATTTACAGCCGCCGACATATTGATATGATATTGTTCTGTGCCCGGAATACCAAAACATGCACGTAACAACACAAGTGCACTAACTTTAAACGCTAGACGTTCCGTGAAGATCCGGGTTAGAATTATAGATCTGCAGCAACCCATGCTAGTCGTTTGAGGCGACTGACGGGATCGGACGGTCAGGCTCGCCGACATGGGTGATACATGTCATCGTATCCAAATTGCATAGATCGATGCTAATGATATCGATCTCTGGGTTGTCAGGTCCAGACTCGATTATTTACGGATCGTCGTCTTATAGCTGGAAAATTGCAGAGTGCGGCGTTAAACAACAAACCAACCAACCAATCATGTCAGTGGGTGTTTTCTGAATACGGTGCCACACTGGTAGGGACATACGAAGAGTGCGGCGTTAAACAACAAACAAACAGACAACGACGTCAAATCTCATATCACCTCATATCGTTCAAACTAAAGTGTTCATCTCGAGTGACAGACATGCTATAACCGATGTATGTATATTTTTCCGCCACACAGTGGACTACGGCTCGTGGTTTGACTACATGCGTGAATGGGAGAAGGCGATACAAAACAACCCGGATGTCCCAGTTCTGTCTGTCATGTATGAAGACATTAAAGAGGTACGGTCACCATCAATATCAATCCAATTGTAATAGTAGCTGTGGTTTTGAGTGAGTGGGAGCATGGTTTTACGCCGCTTTTCGTAATATTCCAACCATCTAACTTCGGGGACACCAGAAATGGGCTTCACACTTTACTCTGGGTAATGACACATTTTAAAAATGACTTTGATCACATGCATAGGATTAAAAAAAACTCCACTCTCTTATCTCGGGTATATCGTTAAAAGGCATAGCCTCGAAGTCGTATATGATGCTGTGAACCTTTGGTTTAATGCAGGACCCGTACAAGGAGGTACGGAAGATATCCGACTTCCTGGGGAAGAACTACCCGTCTGACTTCCTGCACAGGGTCTGTGACAGCTGCAGCTTCAGTAAGATGCGGGAACAGAAAGGACAGTACGACACCTCTCCCGACGGACTGCCAGTCATGTACAGGAAAGGTTAGTTCCTTGCAAAGTCCCATCACGGGAACAATTAGTTAAGTAGTCAAAGGTGCGGCCTGTCTGTGTCTCCCATCCAGGGTTCGACTCTCAGCTTCATGTGTGGTATTTTGTCTGGTTGATTTCTTAAAAGTGGTTACATATTCGACATCCGTCATGTTTGGCTCTTCCCTCATGTTATCTGACACCCGGTAATGTAACTTACTTCAGTCACGTTAGACATAAAAATGAGTAATGGGTGTCAGTCCACTTAAACTATGTTGATGAAATGTACCGAATGTATTTTTTGTGGTGTGGAAATATGTGCAAGGTTGGTAAAGTGACGTTGTTGACTAAACTAGTCTACTTAAATGAAGATGACGTGATATATATATATATATATATATATATATATATATATATATATGTGTGTGTGTGTGTGTGTGTGTGTGTGTGTGTGTGTGTGTGTGTGTGTATTGTGCGGGCCCGTGCAACAAAAATATCTGAATTATTTAAGAAATAAGATGTGTTCCAATAAGTCATTTATGAATTCACTTCAATGTTTTTGTGTGTTCATTGAGGTATTGACGTAAAAACCGGTGAGAACAGGGAACATGCACGCAAAGTTCTTGATTACCCAATTAAATTCCATTTATAAATTGTAGGTATCGTGGACCTTGGTCCTTTCAACACATGCACGTTTTGAACAGATACGACACTAAATATATTTTATACATTTAGTTCCATATGCATTGCTCTCTTTGTGTTTGTGTGAGAATTTGAGTACGCGTGAATTAAAACACCCCAGATGACTACTCTTTATAACAAAGGCTGTTTCGAGGGCTATATATTTTGAATGGACACCCACGTACACATAAGCTATGATTTTAAGAATGTTTCCTCAAAGGACTATTCTTAAAAACTTACCCCCATATAAATCGCCATATGTTTCAGTGTAAACGAAGTTAACTGGATGTTGACGTTAACCCATAAATGACTGACAGTAACCGATAGTATTACTCTGTTACATTGGGTGTACTAAGTTGGCGACTGTTTATACCACCACTGGTCGCTACATGCATTGCCACGTTCAGACAGTGACTTGGAGTGTAACCTCCACTCATCACTGAGAACCACTGACTTTAAACTGACACCAAGGCCACATTAACGCGTACTTTTATGCGCACTATGGCAGGAAGACTGCCGACACAACTAATACATGGTAGCCCATCCACATTCTTTCCTGATTAGGGGAGAGCATCAGGTGTTGTGTGGCCTGATCCCAGGCGTCAACATTTGTGATGGTTGTCATGAGCGAGTTGGGTGAGTTTGGGGCACCCTAACCCCGCTTGAAATAACTGCCACCCTGATCTAAACATTATCTGGATTTATTGGACAAAACATGTGTTCATGATGCGCCACAGTGTCGGTCAACATTTATAACGAATAATATCATGCATGAATTTAAATAGGTTTAAGCCTCATGGAGTAGCGAACTATGATATCTGGATTACTATTGCAAATAACTGACTTGAGTGATAAAAATAAAGAAATAATTGGAGGACACGTCCATGATAATGAATTGTATGAATGATCAGAGCTATAACAACTTCTCTTGTGTTCATCATATAACAACTCCACTTGTGTTCATCATTGGTGAGACCCGTGAAGATTCCGGGGTAGAATAGGTCTTCAGCAACCCATGCTTGCCGTAAAAGGTGACTATGCTTGTCGTAAAAGGCGACTAACGGGATCGGGTGGTCAGGCTCGCTGACTTGGTTGATGCATATCATCGATCCCAATGGCGTGGATCGATGCTCATGACATTAATCACTGGATTGTCTGGTCCAGACTCGATTATTTACAGACCGCCGTCATATAGCTGTAATATTGCTGAGTGCGGCGTTAAACAACAAACCAACCAACCAAATCATCATTAGTGTTCATGTTATTGTACTCGGTTCAAGGTTATTGGTGTCATCTTAATGCACTTATGTCAAGGTTACTGAAAGGTCAGACTTATGCCATTTCAATGCATGCAGGTCACATCACCGATGTCCTTTCAGTGCATTCAATGTCATTGTTTTTGTAAAGTCAGATTGGTGTCATTGCAGGTCAGGTCGGTGACTGGAAGAACATGTTTACCGTGTCCATGAGTGAGTGGTTTGACAGAGTGTACATCGACAAGATGGAGGGATCAACACTCAAGTTCAGATATACCCTGGAAGACTAGAACTGCCAAAGCGACAACGTGTTATTAATTCAATACGCACTGATGAAAACGAGCTACACATGAGTTCGATGAGATCATCTTAGCTGTAGAACGCTTGTGCTACTTTATGTCCGGTATACAATCGTATTATAGATAGAACTAATAGCGCATAAAACACTAAACGTTTTGTTTGTAAACACCACAGAATGAAAGTTACTGAATTTTACAAGCAACTGTTTTCACTTATATCATACAAAATCTTGGTCACATTCATACTCGTTTACTGTTATTTTTTGTACCCACAATTCAACTTTTGATTGGAATATTTGTCTCTTTCCATGATACACAAAAACGAATCTAATAACATGTGAAGTGTATATATTATTAAAATTGAATGACATATATGGTTTCCCTACAAAAAGTTTTGGGCAGTATATTATTTTCTTATGTTGACTCAAGTTCCGCTATCCGTATTCCGACCATTAATATTCTCCGAGTCTGCAAGAGTGACCTTCGGCCGAATCCGGTTTCATGACGTCTTTTAGTTAAAAAGAATCCAACTGTATCAACATGTGTGGACAAAGTCCACTAGGCTCAAGGAACAGGTATTATGATAGGCACTACAGTGGAATTCAAATTTGCATCTCCAGCCCAATCTGGCACTCACTATCATTTGAGTGAGTGAGTGAGTGAGTTGGGTTTAACGCCGCTTTTAACAGTATTCCAGTTATATCGCGGCGTGTCAGCATAATGTGGGAGGAAAGCCCGAAGTGATGCAGGTCTCAGACGTTTACCACTTCGGTGAAACCCACGAGCACGGGTATGGTGCTGACAAATCTAGAAACATAATCGGGGCGAACCGGGGATCGAACCCACTATCATAGGTTTCTGGCGTGGCCAAGGGACACTATCATTTGAAGTAACTACAGTTTGTATTGGTATAATCAGATGTATGGAATATGATTGATAATACCAGATATAATTTTACATACGTATACACATCTTAGTTTGTGATTATAACATAATGCTTCAATAGCATTAGATATTAGTCACTTTTCGTCATGTTATATTTGTTTGTTCAAGACATAAGAAATAAGAAATAAATTATTATATATTATTTTAAAAAATCTCCTTCACAGACGCCAGGCACACGCCATGCATGTGGTTTTATTAATTATAGCGATTGAATGGTATTACTTTCATTGACGATGTTGCATACAATAACACTGTAGATATTGAGGTGAGACTTACATTGAAATTGTCATGAATGTCATACATTAGTGCTGACCCACACATAAAGCAGACCACATTACACACCTTGTAGAAATCAGACGGATATACTACCCTCATACATACAGGGTGTTAATGACGGAATTGCATAGATATGGATAGACCACTCGCAGTGTGCCCAAGTTACAGCGTCACATCACATCGGCAATATGCCAGTCGGAATGCACAAGGTGAGCTACAGTGCCTTGTTTTCAGTTTTCTTTCGTTGTGTTGGACATACGTCTTAAGTCTGGGCAGTGTTCCTATGAAACCAGGGAAACACGAAATATGACGTTCCGGTGACATGGACGATGCATTACCACACCATATCCAGTGTGGACAATTATTAAATGACTGTTTCTGTTCTTGATACAATATTAGTATGTCTGTGGCCACTGTAGTATAATACGGATATTAAAAAAGATCCCGAAGGCTTCTAACAGAAGACATCGTCCCAAACACAGTCCGGAGAATGTATATATTTTTTGCACTTCAAAGTGTCTATTCGGTTTAGCAGCAAGATAACACGTGTATCAATTCGAATGATCACATCAAGGATTTTGCTTTGTAAAGTAACTTTTTTCTGATTTTCTGAACATAATTCTTTTCCACTGAACATAAACATTAAATTCCTATTCTGAACCATCATTATGGTGTGGGTAAATTTTGTTGATTCGTTGTATTAGTAAAGTTGTTTAATTGTCAAGTATGTGTCAGTGTTGTGTTTGATAAACATGTACTACTCCAGTGTATAAACCCGGGTAAGATTAGGTGTTCAGCAACTCATGCTTGTCGCAAGAAGAGATAATACTTGTCGTAAGAGGCGACTAACGGGATCGGGTGGTCAGGCTCACTGATTTAGTTGATGCATGTCATCGTATCCCAGTTGCGTGGATCGATGCTTATGCTATCAATCACTGGATTGTCTGGTCCAGACTCGATTATTAACAAATAATTAAATAACAAACAAACAAAACAAAATTTTAATGACTAAACGTTACTTAAAACAATAATGTTGGCATTACGTCATCACTGGTCTGTGCATTTCGTCAGCAATGATTAGGTCGCATGGAATTATTATTACACGAGTGTTTTCTATGGAATGCTATTATATCGGTTTCGACATCAGCTTTATAAACTAAATTTTTGATAGGCATTACTTGGAAGTTGACGGATGACAAGGCATACACAATTTTATGGATCACATGTACAACTTTTTAAATACTGTAAAAAGCGACGTTTCGGTGTAGATCCTTATAGTTTGGTGTAAGGATCTATACCGAAACGTCGCTTTTTACAGTATTAAAGAAGTTTATTTCCATAAAATTGTGTCTACCTAGCTTTATAAACTCTTTGATTTCAGAATAAAAATCGGAAGTGTGTTGGTACTAGATTTGAAGGACGCGTGAATATTAATTGTAGGTCACATTAGAATCAAACTACTTAAAATGTACGTCAAATGAAACAATATACACGCAGGATAATCCACAACTAAAACTGACAGAAGCAAATATGTAAGATTGATGCTAACTTCTGTTTTTTTAACCCTGAATACAATTATTGTTCAGACCTACCCTGCATTGTTTTTGGAACGGGTTTTGTCGCTTTTATTGAATAGTTCCCAGTGTTCACCTTAGATGAACCATCTACGTTGAACACTGGGGACAGTTTTCAATAAAAGCGACAAAGCCCGTTTCATAGCCATAAGAAGTATCTACTAAAAGCAGTCCAGTTTGCAATCTCTTCATTCTCTTACGTAATTAAAAGGCCACGGCATTTTCTTTAGTCGTTACTATTGGCTGCCATCAACTAATGCTGGTCGTATGAGGCGACTAGATGAACAGGATGGTCGGCTCGGTGGCGTACACGTGTTTTTTTGCGTGTCATCATACCTCAAATGCGTTGATCGATGCTTATGATATCAATCATTGGATTGTCTGGTCCAGACTCGATTATTTACAGAGCGCCGTCATGTAGCTGGAATATTGCTGAGTGCGGCGTAAAACAGCAAACCAACCAACAACCAACCTAATGTAGTGAAGTCAACCTGTACACCCACATAAGGCAGCTTTGGATTTATGTATATCATTTGACAATTCCGACTTTGAAATTCCACTGGGACAGACAAATGTTACCAAAAGAGTTAAAGAAGTCATCTTCTGCAGCAATATCGCTTTCAGTGTAATAAAATGCAAATTTAGAGGTTGAAATAGAGAATCTCACAGATCATGCATGATCGCATTTTAATGCGCCTTTACCGCCTAAAACATTTAAATGTTCGAAAATATTAACAGAAGCAAGTAAGTAACATCATCATGTGCGAGATGTCAAGTCGACATTTACAAGTTTGTGGCAGAGGCGAGACAGGTGTTAATCAGGTTCTGAATCACTATTACAGCAATTTGGCGTGTTTTTTAGCATAATTGACATTAATCGCAAAAATGCCACCTGAAATAGATCAAAAACTGATAAAATGTGGTCGCGTTTCATTGACTTGGGTCACCGCACTCAGCAATATTCCAGCTATATGGTGGTGGTCTGTAAATAATCGAGTATTGACCAGACAATCCAGTGATTTATATCATGAACATCGATCCAAGCCATTGGGATCGATGACATGCATCAACCAAGTCAGCGAGCCTGACCACCCGATCCCGTTAGTCGCCTTTTACGACAAGCATAGTCGCCTTTTACGGCAAGCATGGGTTGCTGAAGACCTTTTCTACCCCGGATCTTCACGGGTCCGCGTTTCATTGAGTTCATAGCAGGCGGCAAGGTAGCAGCCGGATACACCTCGCTATATCGCAAACAGCTGTCTTTGTTGACCCTGTTCACCTCAGAAGAACGCGGTACAAGTGCTCTGGATTTTGATCCTGAAAGAATGGAGCATATTGGCCTGTGTTGTTCAGAGTTAATATGGGAATAATCTTTGATGCTGTGTATGTTTTGTGTGGCCTGTTTTTGTGATATCTGCATAATATGAGACGGCGGGACGATTACATCGTTCAGCTTTTGCACCAAATGTTTACGTGCACTGTGGTTTGTCAGTTTCTTGTCACATGACGTTCCCGCAGATGTTACCATGCGTTTCATTATAGATTCAATTTTGTGAATACCAACAGTTTGCCTTTTAAACAATGGACCTGACGATGAACCTTTATTTTTGACAGTGGAGCTTGTTAAGTAGAAAGCACTACCTGGAGTGGAATAATCGCCTGGAATTCCAAGGATTCTATGTATTTCAACGTCACAACTGATATTGGATATTCTTGGATTTTCAGGTGGTCGATATTTTTTTACCCAACATATATAAAAAGGAATATTGATGTAAAACGTCATGCTAGTTTGGTCATAGAACAATTCCGCTATAGTTTACACGTTTTCCGCTCACCTACAGCACGCGGAAATCTGTCGCACAACACGTCCATTTGTGGAAGCATTTTGTCAAAATATGATTTCCGAATGTAGATTACAAATTCACAAGGAAAACCCCTGTAGCCAAATACTTTGACTTTCAAGTTGGTTTTCATGTTTCATTTTCTTACAAAAGTTTTATTTTGAAACATATTAGTTTTATATTTTCATGAACTAGCAACATTGATTGAACACCAATAGACAAAATAGGGATACTCTTTCACAGGGATCAATGTCATATAGCACCGCTATTACAAACTCCGCCCACTACTGTCGTCATCAAATTGTGCTTGTTGTAAACTCACCAGGCGACCTACTTCCACTGAACAATGAGTTGACTGACATCCTACACAGGCAAGTGAAAGAACTTGTTTGAATTATATTATTAAATTTAATCGTACCCGGAAAAAACAGCTTACCTACTGTAGGGATACCAGTATTACATTGAAGCTATAAGCTGACCTGGCTGGAGCGTGCTTTACGGCGCAACATGAGTGGCCTCCCTTTGTCAACGAAGCCAGCTGCACCGTGGGGTCTCCCATTTCTCATTTGCGCATTACAGCATGTTCGTACTTTTTATTCACAGAAAGACACAGTTTGGTAACGACTACATGTTAGCTTTTTAATCAAGGTTTCACTACCAAATCCCTGCATCGTGAGGTCATTCTAGAAATGTAATGGTGGACATTCCGAGGAATTTACAAAATGAGACGTGCTTGTTAAACATTACAGTGTGCGAGTTCAGCCTCAATTTTGTAATTGATATCTTTTCCCGTAAAAACCTCGTTCTCAAGTGCGACCTACAAAGAGTAAATACATTTTGCTAGCAGATGACATACTCACTCTATAGTCTCTGTCAACTGGAGTTTTGAAACGGATGTTTCTACTGAAACAACTTTTTTGTAAGATAGACACAATTTTATGGATATAAGGATCTATACCGAAACGTCGCTTTTCACAGTATTAAAGATGTTGTTTTCCATAAAATTGTGTCTATCGTGTCATCCGTCAACTTCTAAGTAATGCCTATCAAACAATTTAAACTTGTTTGTACTTTTATTAGTTTTCCATGTTACGAAATATGTTCACTGGATATTAATGCATTTCACCTGGATAATAAGGTTTATTCATTTCATGATGAGGATCATCTTTTTTTAAATTGTCCCAACTGTATGCATACCTGACAGGGACGACATGGGCTACCATTATGATACGATTTCTTACATTTTTTTCTCAAGAGGAATACCATTATTTCTTCTTTTGTTTCTTTTTTATCTGACTTTTTTGGATGGCATAAATGCAAATACATTCACAAGATGCAAAATTCTACAAGCGTTTAAAGTTCTATATAATATTAATGCATACACAAGCCTTATTGGTGCAAATGTACTCTCGATATTTTCCACTTGAAAATTCATTAGTTTTAGCGGCGCCAGAATTCCAATATGTTCATACCTTTCTTGACAAATCTCCAGTGGTGTCACTTGGAAGTTGCATCATGATAAATAGTTAGTAAGAGACTAGTATTCGAAAGTGAGTTCCAAGAAAATAACAGTTGAAACACACGATTTAGCCATGACTGATTATTAAAATGCAATAGCCAAGGTATAATCCAAAAGTTATCGTCCACCACAACAGTAACATTAGTATATTGGTACAGCAGACGATAGGTTTGAGCCAATCATTTTACTGATAGAGTCCTCGTGACTAAAATCTTGACTACTTCCGGTGCTGTGAAGGGTTACTTTCCCTAATTAAAACTAACAAACCAATACATATTTGAGATTTAAGTTCTGATTTATTTAAGCGCAAATGTCTAGACAGTCAGTTTAGACCCCTGACATACAAATTAGACCATCAATGACATATCAGTAACGCACTGAAAGAGTCCACTGGCTGTGCTTCTTAATATGCACGATAACACATTGAGAGGCAAATTTATGCATGACGCCACAGGTCAACAAGATTATGGACGAGATCTTATTTTTTAACCTGAGCCTTGACTGACGCTGCTGGAACGGTGTTGGTGTAGATTTTTTTGTCCGCAGATAATCAGCAGCAGACTTGTCATCATCAAATGAAAGTTTACCCTTTCATGAAAAAATGTGGATATGTGGAATGTGTGACCTGATCTTCGTTTCTATCGCAAACTGCCAGCCGCCCTTGATCCCTTTGTAAAGCACCTTGGTGAACACGTGAGAGTGAATGAGTGAGTTGAGTTTAAAGTGTCAGCTTAATGTGGGAGGAAAGCCCGAAGTGATGCAGGTCTCAGACGTTTACCATTTCGGTGAAACCCACGAGCACGGGTATGGTGCTGACAAACATAGAAACAAAATCGGGGCGAACCGGGATTCGAACCCACAATCATAGGTTTCTGGCGTGCCCAAAGGACGCAACTCTGCATAGCGAATCGCGGCGGCTTAGACGACTGGGCCACCCGTGCCCCCGTGAACACGTGGAATGCACCGTAGATCACCACAGGCGCCTGCTTGTAAATATGTTTCGGCTTCAGATATGTAGTAGCACAAAACATATTTAATAATTAGTCTATCCTATACACTTCTCTAAATTGTTTCGGTGGAGTTAATATTGAACAGTTACTGTTTTAACACGCTTGATGCTACTTGTTTGTAGGCGCAGTTGTAAAAGATGACTGAGATCACTGTTGCTGATGACGGCGGGGACACTATGAGATGCATCCAGCATAATGACCATCTCTTTCCGGTTTTTAACATCCAGGCAATCACCGGGCTCACATCAGTCAAAATAAGAGAAGATGATGTCCTTATTCTTGGATTCCCGAAATCAGGTGACGTACACGTTTCGGAGCAGATAAGGATTCCTTGTAAAGATTAGTCGGATCAGTAAGCATAACCTATAAGATGAGCAGAAAAGATACCTGTTGACAAATACATAACATATGTGCGTTAAATGGCGGGTGCTACCGGCAGGGCAGGACATGCTTACCCTTTTCGTGACCACCTGGTGTCATCACTTATTTTCAGTTGTCTATTTACATAGTTTTCTCAGCTATTTTGCCGTTTATTCTTTTCTTATAAACATTGAAATTGAAATTGAAAGATTAAGATGAAATTGAGACAATCGAAATGTACCAGTAACAGTGTCTCACAACAGTAAGCGTGAATTAATGAATGGTGTTTTACGATTCAACCGATATATGTAATCGGGGTCAGCCAAAGCAACTGTTGATAGCAGCCACCACGACACAGGGCATCGAGGACACACTATAATACAGGTCACATTATGTGACCATCTAATCCTATAATGTCATGTCAGTGTTTCTTTCCTTCCACCATCGTAAACAGTTATATTTTTTGCTGTCACATCTCGAAACTCAGAAGTCATATGCCTTTTTATGAGAAAGGATTAACCTGGCAAATCCCGTCCGTGGTCACAAGTATATCTGTCATCATGTTATAGTGTTTGTTGTTTAACGCCACGCTCAGCAATATTCCAGCTATACACTCAGCAATATTCCAGCTATATGACGGCGGTCTGTAAATAACAGTCTGGACCAGACAATCCAGTGATTAACATCATGAGCACCGATCCCGTTAGTTACAACAATCATAGTCTCCTTTTAGGGCAAGCATGGGTTGCTGAAGACCTATTCTTTCCCCGGGTCCTCACAGGTCACACGTTATTCTGAGTTAGCTTGGTTTAACGCCGCTTTGAACAGTATTTCAGCCATGTCGGGGCGTGTCAGTCCTGTAAGTTTGGAAGGAGGAAAGCCCGTGGTGATTTTAAAGAAGGTCTCAGAAGTTTAACACTTTTGACGAACCAATGAACATGAAAAAACCCACAAGAATCAAAATCATGTCGAATTCTGCTGTCAACAGTTCCTAATGCGATACCACACGTGATTAGGAACATATTATGTTGTAAACTTGGAAACTATATAACTTGAATCATTTTCTACAGGAAACCATTGGCTGTGGGAATTAACCCGCCAGGTGTTACAGGGACGTGTGGTGGAGGATGACAGAGTGATGAACGAGTTGCTGATGGAGAGTGCACCGGAAGAGGAGTATGCAGACTTACCCTCCCCCCGAATCCTTGCGTCAAATGCCCCTCTAACCAAACTGTCACCGGAGGTGATCCAAAAGAAGCCGAAAATTATCACCGTATTCCGGAACCCGAAGGATGTTACTGCATCCTTTTACTCCTTCGCCCTGAAGCTGCCTTTTTGCAAATACACGGGGAAGTGGGAGAACTTCGTGAAGCCGTGTGTGCAAGGAAGATGTAGGTACAACGTTATTGCCTTGTAATCAGTATTGTTGTATGAGGCGATTTGATGACTCATGAGGATAGGGACATTACATTATTGGAGATGATTTTCTCATTCTGTGTTTCCACTGCGATCCCGTTCTAAGATATACAGACTGCTATATGTACTTGCCTCCAAGCCGGCAACTACTGTCATACTGTCAACTGTATGCTTGGCAGATGGTTGTCATATTGTCAGTGTGACTTTGCCGACGCCTGTCATATTCTCAGCTAGACTTAACATGATGTTATGGCATTGTCAGCTGAACATAACAGACTAGTATCACACTGGTATCTAGACTAAACAAGCGAATATCGCTTTGTTTGCCAGACTTAACGTACTGCTATATCTGCTACACTTCACAGGACACAGACATTGCATACTCCTGTACATCGTTACAATTAAATTGCATCGCAAAGCAATAGAACAGACCACTGTGTCGTCATCGTTTGCATGACGTCATCTTCAAATGACATAACTTTTTTGACATTCGGCAAGCCTAGTTTTGAATTTGTATCTACTCAAGTTGATATCAAACGACCCTTGGGTGACATTCCATGTAAACTGAGGGGCAAAAGAAAGTATACCGAATATTTTTTTTATGTTATTGAAAATTGAAAAGACTGTTTTTAAATTTGGTGTTGTTTCTTTAACCATCACTCATTTATGCAACAGTTTGTAAAAAGTAATCTGTGGCAAGGTGATATTGTGTAAAAATGAATTGGTTCAATGAAGACTGGGGTAAGAAATTAATTTGCAACCACATCACCCCTACCATGATTGAAATGTATATTTGTGCCGAAAAAAGCAAATATATGGATTTTCAAAGATAACATGTGTAAGATTGTGTGTGTTTTTTGCGAATTATTTTATTTTTTTAAATTAAATTTTAAATAAAAGAATGTTTTTAAAAATTAAAACCACGTGGAAGTATTCTTTGAGAGCTGAGTAAGGGCCAGTACAGTTGATTTTTTGGATATAATACACCAACTTGATATTTTCAATTGAAAATCAAACATAGTATCGGACTTCATATCTCACCAACTATACTCTGCTTTAAATTCCGATTGTTATATCAATATGGTGTAACGTTATGTTGCAGTTTACCATGGTTCTTGGATGGACCATGTTTTATCATGGCAGAAGCTAAGGGACACCTATCCAGAGTGGCCGATTTTGACAGTGTTTTATGAAGATTTAAAAGAGGTAGGTATACAAAGTAACTTTTTTCTTGTGACGGATGAATAATGATAAACTGTGTCAGATTTTGGGTTTATGTATTGATAGTTAATATGTGTAACAATGCAAAGAAATTTTGAAGACCTTCGGAGTGCGACACGAGGCATCTTCGATTACCCAGTGTATGACATCTCCTTTCTGGTATAGTGTATACCCTGGACCAATTCAGTGCGGCGTTAATCAGCAAACAAATCAACCAACGTTGAAACAATAAAATTGAGTGAGTGGTACTAGACACTCGAAGATGTCATAGGGACACTCTGTGGACAATCCTGGCGCCAGCAGATCTTGCGAATGTTCTGTAATATTGATATATTTCTGAGATCGCACAACATAATTTGCAACTGGGGAAGCCGAGTTATTGAAGTGTCAGAAAATCCGCATCAATTCCATCAATTTCAGAATTAGAATATCATTCCCTGTTCTAACGACGAGGTAAAGTAGGTGTCACGTACAATATGTTTGTATTTTGATCGTATACTAAAATCAGAATCGGCTGGTCACAATGTGTCATTGTACTACGATAGTGTAGATATTTATACATACTGTCAACCATGTGTGTGTTTCGACTCGGTTTTCACCACTGACATTGCCGTCTGCAGAGGAATACACCAGTAACAGGCACTCACCCGTAACAAAGACACGACTCAGTTCCCTGCATGCATGAAGGGGTCCAGTGTTTGAACCCCATTCTTGATTTTCTCAACAGTTTTACACTTTCAATATCATTTGACGGACTTTATTGTGTGCAAGGATCCTATGGAACAGTTGAGGAGACTGTGCAGCTTCCTGGGCGTCAAGAGGAGTGAGGAGTTCCTGAAGGCGGTGGTCAACATCTGCAGCTTTGACAAGATGAAAGATATCAAGTCACACCGTGCGGTGTTCAGAAAAGGTGCTTTGATCTTTAAACAAAGGCAAGAGTAACAGTAATCGAAAGGAATTATTAAGTACAGAAAATCAATAACAATTATAGTGGAATAGACCATGGATTTACGGACTGATCTCGATATGTCAGGGAAGCTTTGCTTTGCGTATCCTGGTACCACCTCAAATGTTCATCTCTAAATGGGATTACAATTAAAAGATATGCCATCACATATTTGCAGTAAACACACATGATTCTAAACTAAGACTGTTTAATATAATAATATTTCAAAGGGACAGATTCTTTAGAAAGTCTTTGAGGTCAATCTTCAGTCCAGATTAACGCCACTACACATTTCTAATTCTAAGGATAGAGCGGAAAAGTTTTGCCAAGGAGAAAACAGTCACGCTAAATGTGTGTTTCAGTACAAACTGTTGGTATACGAAAGTTCGAATATTAGTTAACATCCACTTTTTTAGAGATTTGTAAGTTTTGGGTAATACATTGTGTATATCATCAGAACTTCATCGTTCCAGGCGAGGTGGGTGACTGGAAGAACTGGTTCACTGTGGCCCAGAATGAGTGGTTTGATCAGCTCTACCAGGAGAAGATGACGGATTGTCAGCTACAGTTTAGATGTACATTGTAGCTTCACAGAGAATCAACATTAGCCGTGTGTCCTTTTTACAAATTAGTTCTAGTGTTACGACAATTGTGAATTGTTCTTGTGTTGTTGTTTTGTTGTTGTTGTTTTTCAAGCAGTTTTTTGTTCTATTTCAATAGTATACAGAGAATATATTAAGGAAGTTATGGCATAACAGCATGTTGGTTGGTTTGTTTTACCGCACTCAGCAATAATCCAGCTATATGGCGGCGGTCTGTAAATAATCGAGTCTGGACCAGACAATCCAGTGATTAATATCATTAGCATCGATCCATGCAATTGGGATTGATGACATGCTTCAACCAAGTCAGAGAGTCTGACCTCCCGTTAGTCCTGATCCCGTTAGTCGCCTCCTACGACAAGCATAGTCGCCTTTTACGGCAACATAACAGCATGTGAGTGAGTGAGTATGGTTTTACGCCGCTTTTAGCAATATTCCAGCAATATCATGGCGGGGGACACCAGAAATGGGCTTCACACATCGTACCCATGTCGGGAATCGAACCCGGGTCTTCGGCGTGACGAGCGAACGCTTTAACCACTAGGCTACCCGACCGCCCTAACAGCATGTGATATTAATTAAATCGTACATGGTGGGGGGCATTATTCTTGAAAAGTGGATATGCGGGTAGAAACAAGTGCACAATGTATTCAGAATTGTAATTAGATTATAAATCTTTTAAATCAAATATAAAGTGATTCGTGGTCAAACACAGAGTATGTTAACCAAATACTTTCGTGTTGTTGTGAAATAAATATTGAGTGTTATTGTGAAAAAACAATTTATATTATTTTTCTGTTTTACAAATATCAGTGACAACCTTAAAAAGGTCTCAATGAATAACTTTTGCTGCTTGATGTTCGAAACATAAATAAATCTTTTACCTGCTAGGAGACTTTGGTTCACAACAGTGTTATCAGAATCAAGTCCAAAGACAATAGTTTATCTTGTGAAAGTTACATCCAGTTTAAGGCTTCTTTTTATAAATGACTGAACTTGCTTCCAGAAGGCACGAACCCATTCACAATCTGAATATACAGTGAAAAAGATCTTTGCTGTTACAGTTGCAAAAGGAGCATACATCATAATCAATCAATTTCATCAATACTTTTTTCCACGTAAATAACTTTCAATATGAACTTATGCTGGAACTCTAACAATTTCACATCTTCAATTGATTTTCTAAATTGGGTAAATACTTTTATCCCATTGTATTTTGTTTGATAACATATTTTCCCATTTCTCAAGATTTTTATCAAATTTGTTTGAACTGATGAATTCATCATAAAAAATCCGAGATCCTTTTGTAATAGAATGTAGATTCAAATAAACATTGTTGATATCTTTGTTTTATAAAATATCTTTATCTCCTTACACAATTTAACATTACGTCCTGTCGTTGCACTTATCCAGATAGCTTAGGTTTGTCTACATAATATTTTCAAACTAGACATTTTGTGGAACTTATTCAATGTTTCGATAGCTGTATTAAAATGTCTTCTGATCCATCCAATAACTGTTGAGTGTCATCCGCTTATTGCACAAGTTTGTGTTTTACATCATTAAGTGTACTTCCTTTCATGTGGTGATTTTCTATAATCATACATCATAATATTTCAGCAACTAGGAGAAACATATATGGTGATACTGGGTCTCCCTGTCTGCACCCACGTTCTTATATAACAAATGTTGAGAGATGTCCATGTTGTATAACACATGATGTTGTGTTGTTTATTAAACTATTTATCCATTTGATCATAATGTTTCCAAAGCCAAAGTTTTCTAATACTTGCAAAATAAATGATTTTGAAACAGTGTCAAATACTTTTTCAAAGTCGATTTACACATGGATAAAGCAATACCCTTCTATCTAATCAAATACGGATAAAACTGAAAAAATAAAACTTATAATTGCAAATAAGTGGAAAGTATTTATAGGACCGATGTTGGTTAACATGGTGTAATAACACAGTCATGTGCCTGCTACACCTTGAATATCTGTCAATCATAGCAGTCAATAGTCACAGTACGAACAGCTATTATTACTTTCATCAGACCGCCTGATGTGATTTAGGCCTATCTTGTATTCAGCCCAACACACACACACCACCACCCGACCCCCTTCCCAAACCCGGCAAGGTTAAGTGGGAGAATGGAATGCTCAACGTTTGACCTCATTATTACTAACTCTTTCGTGCACATGTACACACTTGTCAGACAACAGGGGGGTTTCACCCAAGAATCTGTCTTTCCTCGAGAAAGATATTTAAAGGACAGATATGTGATAAATAATACCTGTCACATGACACTGTTGTTGCATCATACCGGAATGTAACAAAAAACACGACCCCGTCGAATAACGAAGCAATTCGTTTTTTCATCCTTCCGTTTCCTGTTAACTGTTTATAGCAACAGTAATGCATATATTCGACCAACATATTGGCCGCCACCCATACATGTATATTGTAAGTAATGGATTCGGGACAAGGCAAAGCAGCGAATGATATTAAGGGCTCGGTATTGAGGTGCTTAAGGGACCGATCATTTGATATTAGGGAGCTGTGATTTTGTCTGGAGATATATTTATATTTTTCAGAAAATAAACCAGATATGGTTTTAGTTAAAACTATGAGCCTAAATATTGGTGTTAAGAAAGACAATTTGCAACAATGTAATGTTTGTGTCAGGCAATGTTTTTGTTTCAAAGGTCTGAAGCATAATAATTTTTAACAAGAATGTTCAGGGACAATTCAATTCTTTCGATTAAAGAGACAGAACTCATAATTGGGGATCCTCCATATGTGGACAGATTCAACGTTATCAAGAGAAACGAAATCATGATACTTACACGACAAACTGGGAGGCTACGGTACGACATTATCGACCAATGTGCACTTCACGGTAGTTGATCATGATTTCGTTAAGGATTTCCTTGTATACCTCGATGATTTCCTAGAAGTTTTCCGAGTATACCTGTATTGTGACGCCAGGGCGTGTTTGTCCGACGGTATAAACCGGAGATGTTAAAGAAAGGTTCCGTTACACATAATTATATTGACAGAGTTGCTTGATTATATTACCTGCGCAGTAGCTCATTGAATCAGTGAACGTTGCGAACCTCACGATCGTGAGAATGAAGCTCGCGACATGGTTGTCTATGCTACTTCTGATTGGATCCCCTCTGCCAGGTAATGTTGAATCTTTCTCACTTAATACATAAACATCACGTTTTGTTTGTTGTTTAACGCCGCACGCTTTAATATCATATGACGGCGGTCTGTAAATAATCAAGTCTGGACCAGACAATCTATTGATTTATATCTTGAACATCGACCCACGCAGTTGGAATACGATGGCATGCATCAAACCAAGTCAGCGAGCCTTACTAACCGATCCCGTTAGTCGCCTCTTTCTGCAGGCATGGCTCGTTGAAGATCTATTCTAACCTGTATCTTCGCGGGTCTATGCACGTGAAGGTTATTCGCAGTATGTGTTGTCCGCTGCCCGATGACAAAATAATACATCAATTGTTTACATCGATACATACTATCGGAATACGGTCAAATCATCAAATGAGGCTAGTATCAGAGAACCGTGAAGACTCGGGTTTGAATTGTTCCTCAGCCAACCATGCTTGTCGTAAAAGGCTACCATGCTTAATGTTAAAGACGACGGGTAGTCAGGCTCGCTGACTTGTCTGAAGCATAACATTGTATCCCAGTTACGTAGATCAATACTCATGATGGAAACAACTGGTTTGTCTGGTCGTCTACGAATGTATTTAATTTATGATTACAACTGGATATACACTCTTCAAAAAAGAAAGAAACGCACAGGTAGATGTTTAGTAAATTTATTGTACCTAATAAAGTCGATATATTTAATTTAATATCATAGATACAAATATGTAATTTTGGAGCCCGAAAGTCACATGTTGTCGTTGTTCAAAGGCATTAAAAACTGTTCATTGTCATGTCCCATAAGGCCACAAGGTTGCGCTGAACTTAGTATCTCGTGTGACCGCCCTGGGCAGACATCATGGCTCTGCATCCCCTCGGCACTGACTGGATAAGTGTACGAATTCTGTCCTGCAGAATTCTGCGCCATTCTGCTTGTAACGCGTTGGCCAGTTGTGGGAGTGTCTGCGGCGTGTTCTGACGTTGACGTACTCGTCGATCGAGTTCATCCCAGAGATGTTCGATTGGGTTGAGATATGGAGATCTCGACGGCCAGGGCAAGAGCAAGAGGTTGATGACTGCTTTATGAAGGTACATGTAGTCTACCGTGACACGAGCTGTGTGCGGTGGAGCATCGTCCTGTTGAAACAGCTCCCTCTGGCGGTCAATGATTGGAAGAAGGTGAGGGTGAAGAATTTGATTTATGTCGCTGCCGATGAATCTGTTCCAAAACAGGGACGATAACAGGTCCATAGGGCCGGATTCCAGCCTCGTGAAGATGGTTCCTGACAGTCTGGTCCGATATCCTCCTCAAATCCAGGGATGCGACCTGCAGTCTCCGTAGCTGTTATATCGCGATGCCGTAGGTGGAACAGTCGAATGTAGCGAGCCTATGCAGAGGTGGTAACTCTTTGTCGGCCGGTTCTCGGACGGTCTGTAGTGGAATTGAACTGTGTGAATCGGTCCAAAAGGCGACAAATGGTGCTGTTTTGGACGTTGAAGTGTCGAGCAACAGAAGACTGCGATTCCCCTCTTTGGATACGTCCTATGGCCATGTTCCGATTGGCAGAGTCTCGGCATTTTCGAACTTTCAAAATGTTGACAATTGAATGACAAATTATTGGTTACGAATGCCATAACTGGTCTCCTACATGACATTTTTTAACAAGTGTGAAAACAATGCCGTTTAAGACATTGCAAAACGACAATGGCTGCGTTTTGACGAACTGTTTGTCGAATATCAGGCCACCAGCATTTTCCAATAACATAGATCCAATTTATATACCGGATGTTTTGTGTAGTCGGGTTAAAAAAAACTAGATACTACCTGCGCGTTTCTTTTTCTGAAGAGCGTACATGGAACGATATTTTATGAAAATGTCGGTTGAATTTGGCAACCACAGCGTTTGTTTGTCAAATACGAACTGACAACAAATATGACAGGGGAATCTATGTAACATATGCGGAGGTGAAAACATATGTCGAGCACCGCTTCCTGAATTGCCTTAATGTTGGTCAAACTTGATATACACAGCACAGGGTCTTGATGATATTGGTCAAACTTGATATACACAGCACAGGGTCTTGATGATATTGGTCAAACTTGATATACACAGCACAGGGTCTTGATGATATTGGTCAAACTTGATATACACAGCACAGGGTCTTGATGATATTGGTACATGTATAAGGCCAAGGTCACGGGAGGTCACGTCATAGAACATATATGTCGCAGTATTCCACATTGTTCCAATGCATTTTCCAATCTCTGAATATGATCCATATGGGCCATGTCATGGTTATGTAAAGTTCATTTTCATTCAAAAGGTTTTGGCGCTTTGATAGTCTGTTTTTATAATTGAAAAACATCATTTGGCATACGATTTCGATAAAAGGCCAAGGGCACCCGTGATAAAAAATACCGTGATTAACACTTGTCGTTGTTTTGTCGTGGAAAGGTCACAGAGGTTAACGGATGTGACATTGTAGAGCAAAGGAAAAAAACAAACAAATACATTTACAACCCGACGTCTGCTGGTCGCTTCAGACTTATTTATTTTGAGACGGATTTCCCTGTAATGGAACAATACGATCCAAACGGCATCAAGTTCATATATTTATCAGTGACATATGCAGGGAAAGATATGTTTAATATTTTATAGTCAAGGTCAAACGTGCTGGAAGTTTTCGCGAGCACCTGGTATCGTCACTATTTGCTGGGGATTCATAAACAGATGCTCGCAATATTGTTGGAATGGTACAATAGACCCTGTTTTTAATTTAATCCTTTGTACTTTCCAGTTGAAAATGTACTGACACCTGTCCATGCAAAATATTGATTTAATTAATATATACGTAAGATGGGACGAAGGGTAACAAGAAGTACCCTCTTTTAACGTATAATTTGCTAGGACGCGGCCATAGTCGAACCAGCGACCTTCCGTTCTCCGGGCGGACGAGTGAGTGAGTGAGTGAGTGAGGAGTGAGTTTTATACCGCTTTTAGCAATGTTCTAACAATATCACAGCAGGGGACACCTGAAATGGGCTTCACACATTGAAGCCACTTGACCATGGAGGCGGTAATATATAATTGTGATATAAATTACATTATTGTATATAGTTAAATGGAAATTTTCAGCATGTTGTTATATTTTGAAATTAATTAATTCTTATAATATGATTGCTAAAACATGATTCTCTTTATCATAGGTAAGCCATCGGTTACGTTCGTTGCCATGTTTCTTGCTGAAGCACTGCTCTCCTTTGGCGTCGACCAACTTCTAAATGGGTTAACACCCGATGACTCTGACAATGATCTGGACAGCATTGTGAACTCACTATCAAGAATTGAGGTGAGAATTGTAATGTATTCAGCATGAACAACTGTGTAGTGTAGCTCAATATGTTCAATATCACGAGTTTGACAATAATAAGTATGAAAATAAAGCTGTCAGTTCATCTGGACACCGTAAGAGCTTATGCCATGGCATCACGTCCGCCATGAACGTCCCCTTGTCCTCCATCCCGTCTGCAACTAAAATCCCTATTGTTTCAGAATGTTTGTCTATATTGTTTTGTTTGTTGTTTAACGCCACACTGAGTAATATTCCAGCTATATGACTGCGGTCTGTAAATAATCGAGTCTGGACCAGACAATCCAGTGATTGACATCATGAGCATCGATTCGCGCAACTGGGATACGATGACATGCATCAACCAAGTCAGGAAGCCAGACCACCAGATCCCGTTGGTCTCCTCTTACAACAAGCATAGTCGCCTTTTTCGACAGGCATGGGTTGCTGAAGACCTATTCTACTTCGGATCTTCGTGGGTCGCATAACAGCGTAACCCATACATCTATACTTACAACGAATTACTGCACAGCAATTTCAATGGCAGTACACAATAGAGTGGCAGTACAACATTCATTGACAGTACAACAGCAATGGCAGTATGAAATATAATAGCAGTGGCAACAATATTCACACAGCAGCAACAATGGTCAAGCTTCCAAAATAGGTATTGGCTGGATATCCAGGGTGAAAAGAATCTTCACATTCGCTGGTCGTGATGTATTGTAAGAGGGGAGGGGCAAGCCCCTTATATTGTCTAAATTCCTTCTGAAAGGTTCTGTGCAGCGCAGGAATTGTCTTGCTGTTGTAGAAGATTTTGAATTACACTTGACTCCAAAAGCATCTAAATATAATAACTTCCATACCACTTACATTGGATAGTAGTACATACCTTACATTTTATGTTATACAAACACTATTCTATGAACATCTACTGAATAGTAACAGAAACAATTTAATTCAGTTATAACATTGTTTACAAATACATTACACTGCCATAAAGCAATATGAACATGTAGTGAGCAATAGAAAACTTTCCGAGTCTTGTCCGATTTGAACTAGCAGCGCTATGGGAGTATTTCTGAAATTGTTTGGCGTGAGGTCGAATTTCTGTATCATTGTGGCACTTGGTGACCCTGCAGAGCATTTGTTATGGGTCCGTCATGTGACAAGTCAGCTTTCGATATATCTCCTGTAACGAGGTGATCGATATATCTCCTATAACAAGGTGATAGATATTTCTCCTGTAACGAGGTGATTTCCGAACGGAAACACAAAAGTTAACCAAACATGTACAGAGCTAATTTATGAAATCAGTCAACGACCACACCAGATTAGTGAATAATCTTAAAATATACTGTTAAAAATAAGAAACCCAAAGCCAGATTTTTGTGAGGTAGAAGAAAAAAAAACATTTACACGAGGAACCGTACCAGGTATTGAGCCACAATGTTGTGGAGTGTACACTTAGTGATTGTAGTCATCTCCGTTAGGGTACATAAAAATGGGAAAAGACCAAGCTGGAGGTCAGCTGTCATGAAAATAAGGCGTATTTCACCCGTTGGAATCGATAGCGGCCTGACATTTCCTCCTCCAAGAGACGAATATGCGAATGACATCCTGGGGAATGGTAGTCCACTCGGCCTGCAACATATTGGGTTCGGCAATACATTTGGTCAAATAAATGGCAACATCAATAGACAACAGGCATCAATATGTTAGTGCACTCACGAACGTCCGGATTGTGTCACTGTTTAATGTCTTGAAAAGGCGGGGCCTGTCTCTGTTCTTGAATCTAAAAATATGTGTTAGATCTTCAGCAATCCATGCTTGTTGTAAGATGACTTGGCTGAAAGCATGTTATCGGATCCCAAATGAGTGTTAATGTAACTTTGTGATTAGTTTTTCTAGGGGCATGGGCCTAAGTCGTACTGCATAACAACAGTAATAGGGATCAAAGATGAACATATACCTAAAGATAGATGTGGGTTATGTTGGTTTGGTTCTAGATTGTGGGGCATTCAGGAAAATGTTTGCATCAGTCTGCTTGTGTTTTTGCAAACACGTTCTAGTTACCACTCCCTGGAAAAGGATTTTTAATACCCTGACCTTTAACCTGAAATGTGTTTGTTGACCTTACGCCTCCTAGGGCCATCGAGCTTAATAGCAACAGTTAATTGCTTTTATTAGTTTTAAAGCTGATTATCATAATAATTTAGGGCATTCATGCTTGTTCCAGAAAAATATTCAAGACGTCAAAATATCAATCGAAGAGTTAAAGGATATACCAACGCTCTACGAGGCCGAAAAACTTGAAAGACAGCTCTTGGTTTTGTTTCAAGAAGCTGTTACAGTCACTAAGGCGATAAACAGAATAGGTAGAGTTTCCAATTCTAGTGAGCATCATGGACAACTTCGGGATGAAGTAGCTAGAATGAAGAATAACCTGAAGAAGATTCCTACGATACTGGTTGAACTTCATTCACTGATTGTAGGGAACAGTGTGGTTTCTGGAAAGCGCTCTCTGGGTTTGGCATGCAGCTACATCCAGTTTACTATCACGAAACTGCAAACAGTCTCATCAACAATCTACAACCTTAACAACATTCTGAAACAAATCAACAACCATAGAGACAGTCTCATGAGAATGCAGGTAAATTCCTTTCAGCTCTACAATGGCACATGTATTGATAGGGAAGTCATATGCAATGTGCAGATGGAACAACTTGAAGATCGCCTAATAGCTCAAAGTCAGCGATTCGAAGAGTGCGTACCTCGGAAAGTTGCTCATCTCGCCCGAAAGTCAAATCTCGACGATATTAACATCATCCATCCCGAATCTAAACAAGTTCTATTCAGCACACAACAGGCATCAATTATTGTTGATGGTGTCATGGACTGGGAAAAGGTTGACTCGCCACAAGATGCAGGACTGAAGTGCCCAGAAGGAAACGACAGTGAAATTTGGTCCTTCCAAACTGCTGCCATACATGGGAGAGGTGGATACTATCTAAGACAGAAGAGCGGGTGCTACTTAGGTTTTGATCGTGCTTTTTTAACTTTTGACAATATTCTGCCTTTGTTTTGGACACAATCTGACAGAATCAACAGAAAGGAATTTTTAATTTGTTTACCTCTCAACTCGTCTGATGTCGCCCGATTTCTCTTGCTCCCATCCGCTGCAGAGATCAACACGACCTATGACTTGAAAGAAGTAGAGACTGGCGAGTTCTTGAATGTACACGTCAAGAAGACAAGTGTGCATGATGAAATTGATCATCGTCTTATTTTGGTTCTCTTCCTGAACAAAGAGAAATCTAATTCCTGGATGATTGTTCAAAGACCCGGAGACAGTCTGCCATGTACGGGTGAGTGTCGTTCATGCTTGTTTGTTCTATTATTGTTTACAGAACTGATGCTTTGAATTTGTTGAATAATTGCGGCAAATGCAGTGAAACATGACCTTTGGGGATTCCGATTGGAACAGATCCCCATCAACATGTGCTGATGATACAAGGGGCCTTAATAGATAAGTCTCGATTTGACTGAGTTGACCCGTAACGATCCGGGTTAGAATAGGTCGTCAACAGCCCATGCTTGCCGTAAGATGCGACTATATGCTTGTCGTAAGAGGCGATCACACGTGCTGACTTGGTTGATGCATGTCAGCGTTTCCCAATTGCGTAGATTGATGCTCATGTTGTCAATCACTGGAATGTCTGGTCCAGACTCGATCATTTACAGACCGCCGTCACGTAGCTGGAATAGTGACGTTAAAACAAATAAGTGACACGCATCGTATAAAAACATGTTCTCATCTTGATTTCTTCCTTCTTCGTTCAGAATCGGGCACCTCGGATCCGGACGGCCAAGACGGTAGCTATTTAGCGATCATCATAGTACCAATAGTAGCAGGTGTTGGACTAATGCTTTCGGGTCTATGTATTTGGTATAAATGGAGAAAGAAGACTCAATCATAGAGATAGACTCAGTGTTTTGCCCACACGGTGTGCGGTTGTTGTCTCTGAGCAGGTAAACAACACGTCTGTGTACGTCTGTTGAAGCGATTCCTAATTTCTTCCATGACGTCACTTCCGAAAAACAACCCTTATTGCGGCGACATGTTTAGCTTTTAGGGTTTGATGTTTATGGTTCCAGGGTTTTCGTCCTAATATAATAATATTATAGATATATTACCCTAGATTATCGAGGGTGAGTTAATGAGTATTTGAATCAAGTCATGTCACATATGGGTCAACACAGCAACGTGTGGATCTTCTTTAACACATTTGCACATGTAAACTGGAAAGTTCTGGGTGGGTTGCGCCTATGTTGACTTGAGTGAATTTCATATGACATGAGGTAAAAAAACCATCTCATCAAATTTCACTTCAGCGCGAGAAATATTTAGTGGATAATGAGACAGCTCTCGTCAAACGAGGCCATGGTATTCCTCCTGTGATATAAACATGGAGATATTACACACTGGATTATATGCCTTGAGTGAAACTGCACTTTAATTCTGTCCTAATCGGGACGGAAGATTCATGGTGGTTCTGCCATAAGGGCATTTCAGTGGTGTTATTCACATACAATCTATCTACATGTATACACGCACGCACGCACGCACGCACGCACGCACACACACACACAAAACCCAAGAATTGTGTCGGTTCTGAATCCAACAGCTTCCCAACTTGTCTCCCTTTATGTCAGGGGCGGGACGCGCACATAAAATATGTGACTTGTGTTCATATTTACGCATATTTTTGCGGGTCGCGGGTAACTTTAGTCCCTGTAACCAAATTTTGCACTATTCCATCAATAGCGAGACAGCGAGAGACACCAAAATGGGCCCAACACATACTAACGACTCTTTCTCAGAAGTTGTTTGATCAAAGTAACAACAGGCCCAAGTTAAGCTTTCAAAGCATTATAGGGTATGCATGTGGAGGACAAATCCAAATTTGACGCATCAGTTACAAGAATGATGCCCGATGCAATTCCCTACTTTGACTTGTACCATATGTTCCCATGTTTGTTCTGGTGAACAATTGGCTTGCCTTTGTATGTGTTTGTGACTGGTGCCTGGTATCATCACTTTTTAACATTGATTCATAAATACGTGCTCATGATATAGTCGGAATCGTACAATCGACTCTGCAGTGATTTCTTATGAAAATGGAAAGGCTTTTGTCGCTTTTTTACGCTTCACCACCAACTCATGCACAGTGGAAACAAGATGTCAGCGATGACCCTTCCTCGAGTATCCAGTGTACTATATATCCATTTTGTTATGGTAGTCGCTGATGCCGATAAACACGTGGAAATAAGTGTTTTTCAGACATTTCCAAATGTCAAAAGAATGTCAAGGTACAAATAGCGGAGTGCAAAACACGAGGGAAAACGTATATAGGTTTGCGCAACGAGTGACAACATATCTAGGGGTCGCTGGTCCAGCATATATATATATATAACGTCCAACAACAGAGAATAACCAGTCTCGATTAGTCGACGAAACAAATTTCATCGGGCATATAAGGCAAAATAGCGATGAAAATGATATGAGCGATGACACCGGGTGTTCGCTAAAAGAGTCAATATACCCTGCCCTACCAGTAGCACCCGCCACTCACACAATGTGCTTTAAAGGTATGTGTATGTTGCCTGACGCTGCATTCTGTGAATCCCCACTTTACTTTGCATAACTCATTTGGCAAATAATACGACAGGGGCAAAACGCAAATATTCACTGAGCGTCTGGACACTGGTTTGAGGTAAATTGGTGATTTAATAGAGCTATGATAATACATACATTTTCAACATAATTCAAGAGGAAGGGTAGACCATATGTCTAAGAAAGTATCGCGCTATAAAGAGTTCTGTCCCTTAGTCGCGACAGGATCCACTGGTCACTGTCTCGCATACCAGATACATTGCACCAAATCCGTCTTCATGTTTGACGTCCAATACCTGCATCACCGTGTGTCTTCCTAAAAAAATAGGATAGCACGCAGTGATGTCACTGAAACAGTGTCCATAGCAAGATTAAACCTGAAGAGGCATATGCGTTAATTAGTATATACGTTATAAGTAGCGTTAATTAATCCAAACCAAAGCATTCGGTACCCAAATGAAGAAGAAAAGCTTTTCTTCAACAGATAATCAACTAGTTGAATCAACTCTAAATTTAAACCTAAGCAAGCTGTGTAAGTGGGCAAAACGCTGGTTAATTAAATACAACCCAGATAAAACCGAAGCGGTTATATTTTCATTAAAAGATAATCAGACCTTATTGCCTTGTACTTTGATGAATGTAAAGTTAAGAATGTTCAAAGTAATAAACATTTTGGTATAACGTTTGCATCAAACGGAAAGTGGTCCTCTCACGTAGATAACATGATTAAATCAACATAAAAAATAATAAATTCAATGAGAAAATTAAAATTCATAATGAACAGAAGTACATTAAATAAAGTATAATTATACAATTTTCATAAGACCCCATTTCGAATATGTGTGTGAAGTGGGGGATGGGAGTAATGTAGAATTATCAACTCAGTTAGATAATCTCCAACTAGAAGCTGCCAGAGTAGTTACTGGGCTCCCAAAGTGGGCTTCGCACACACATCTGTATTATGAAACAGGGTGGGAAACGTTAATAGAACGAAGGAGGAAACGTAAGCTATGTTTGTTCTACAAAATACAAAGTAATATTGCCCCAACTTATCTTAAAGTCATTGTACCAACCACGGTAGGTTCAAATGTATCATATAATTTAAGAAATTCAGACAATATTGTGATTCCATATACTGGATTAAAACACTCAAAGTGTTCTTTTATTCCATCAGCTGTAAGGTTATGGAACACTATTCCTGCAGCAGGTAGAAATTGTACATCTACATCCCAATTCAAGACATGCATACAAAAAGAGCAAGTTATTGCACCTCCATATTTTTCCTATGGTGTTAGAAAGTTATATTTATCATACTCGATTAAGATACATGAAAAGCCAGTTAAAATATGATTTATACAGAATAGAGATAAAATGTGATCCAATATGTCAATGTAGTAATCCATGTGAAAACGCATTTCATTATTTATTAGAGTGTACATTGCATGTCCACCAAAGAAAAACTATGGTAATACTAATTCGGGATATTTTACAGAACGCCGTGAACAAAAATGTTAAATTAGATTTAAGTTTGATGTTAAACGGAAATGAATGTTTGTCCATTATCGAAAATCAACATATCTTTAAGGCAGTGCAAATGTTTACAAGTCACACAAAGAGATTTGGGTCACACTTTAATGTAAATTAATAGTATCTGTTTTGTACATTTCTTTTGTTAGCTACACTCATCTTTTCTGTTTTCCCTGTATATGATTTACTGTACAAGCTTTTGTAAATACCATGGAGAGGGAGTCCTAAGTTGGATAACTTGTTCCCAATCCACTTCAATCTGAATAAAATACGTTTAAACTAAAACAAAATGAAGTTCTTCTGGTTATTTGGTGATCTCATGATCATTCGCTACCCACGTGACACTTGAAGCAGTTGGAAATTGACATTACAGTCTTTGCGCCAAGTGTACCTCCAGTTCTCGTCTCAGATCCCGTGAGAGCGAATAGGAACATCCCAAACTTGAAAAGGCCCAGTTGTCTCAGCCCTTTGGCGTGTTAGTAGCCTTTCATCGTGAGGTTCGAATCCGTGTTATATTTCTAGGTTTGTAACCAGAAGTCCTCGCGGACTTCAACACAATGGTGAGGGTCTAAGACCAGCACACGTGGGGTCTCCTCCCATATCAAGCTACACGAGATGTAACTGAAATACCGCTCAAAGAGGCGTTAAACGCAACTGACTCACTCAGCTAGTCAGCATGTTATTTGCATTAAAGTAAATTTCTTTTTTTTCTCATGAATCGCCTGCCTGACCAAGTGTATTTTTAAGCCATGTGTAAAATATTTTAACCTCGCTCTGCAGTGTGCTCACATAGTTCAGTAGAATCAAGTAACTGTTTAAATAAAATCAAAAGTAAAATTCTCCCTTATTATCCGTTCAGTTTTGACAAGTCATAAAAAGCAATAACATTTTGTTCAACTTGCCTCAAAGTACCACCTGTTTTATGTCCATCGCCATCCTTAAAAGTGAGTGAGTATTGTGTTACGCCGCTTTTAGCAATGCTCCAGCAATATCACGGCGGATAACTTCTGAACTGGGCCTCACACAATGTACCAATATGGGGACATGAACCCGGGTCTTTGGCGTGACGAGCGAACGCATTAACCCCTAGGCTACCCCGCCGCCCCGGTTACAGTGGAGTAGGTGGGATTAATTAAACAAACACAGCCAGTCTACCCTTTTAACAATGGTCACAGCCCATGATTAGCGGATTAATTAATAAGAGTAAGCCAATGAGTTAGGAACTAGTAGGAGCTTACTCAAAAAGTTGAGATGCATGTTTTGTTAAAACTTACTTATTACACATATAAATTCCCCCTAGTCTGTGAACATTTCATGCACAATCATGGCAGGTTTGCAGCAGGTTGAGTTCATTACCAGTCAAAGAGGTACTCTCCAGGTCCTTTTTCAGGGATATCTCCACTACAAGAACAAAGTAAGACAAACTGGTACTCATTGGCGATGTACCGTTAAGACCTGCATTGGCATTGTTAGAAATTTCACTGTACACAACCACCCACCAGAAGACACCAGCAGAATCCAGTTCCTTGGCAGCTTAAGGAAGAGAGCAAGAGAAGAACCAACCACCCCTATACCAGCCCTCTACAACGACGAGGTCTTGAGATATGATCCGGAGGCTGCAGCTATATTTCCCACCTTCAGCTCAGTCGGCAGCGCCATGTACAGACACCGCAGTCACACCATCCCGAAACTCCCCCAAACCAGAGCTGAGTCGACATTGCAGCACCCTGGAGAGAGACCCATGATGGTGAGCGGTTTCTGCTTTTTGCCGACGGTGAAGAAGACAAGATGCTGGTATTTGCAACTGATGATCAGCTTAGAGTCCTCCAGTCAGCTTCCATTGTCTACATGGATGGTACTTTCTCCGCCTGCCCAGATCTTTGGAATCAGCTTTATATACTGCATGCACGGAAAGGAAGCATTACCTATCCCCTAGTCTACGCATTGATGCCTGATCGTCGGACTACAACTTACCAACGCCTCTTTGCTCAGTTGAAGGTCCACACCCACAACTACTGAACCAACCATTCAACCCAGACACATTCCAGGTGGACTTTGAAGTTGCTGCCACTAGAGCCCTCCGGACAGAGTTTCAAGGTTCAGACATCATGGGGTGTTTCTTCCACTTTACCCAGGCGATTTGGCGGAAAACATAGGAGCTTGGTCTTGCTGTTGGATACAGAGATAACCCCCTTGTGGAACAGTGGATCAGACGAGCTGCTGCCTTGCCTCTGCTGCCTCTTCAACAGGTTCAGGATGCATGGATTGACTCCATGAACCAGTCTCCCGATGTACCGAATGCTGACGAATTCAACGACTACATAGTCACAAACTGGGTGGATTATGAAGCCAGATTCCCTCTTTCGCTGTGGAACCATCACCAGACATTCGGCCCAAGGACCAACAACAACCTGGAGGGTTTCCACAGTCGCCTCAATGCATCACTGAATCATCGTCATCCTAATCTCTACAGGTTCATCGAGGTCATCAAGAAGATTGAGAAATCTGAGAAGACCAAGCTATCTCAGTTAGACCTAGGTGCAGCTCCACCAGCAAGAAAGCGTGTGTACAAGAAGATTGACAATCGACTTTCCAGACTGAAGGATCAGCTATCCCAGGGTGTCAAGACACCACTCCAGTTCTTGGATGCTGTTGGCAAACTTCTGAAGATGGATTAAGGTTGTTTCAGTGTGACAACCTCGATGTGAACTGTGATGTGAACTGTGATATTAACTTTAACTGAACTCTAAGTGGCGAATATGTTAAAACAATGGATTTAAGGGATGGATGAATTAAAATGTTGAATGAAATAAAGTAAAAGAGGGTATCAAGCATCTAGAGTCATTTCTTTTGTCTATAATAAGACAAGTCCACTTTCG